CTACAAGAGAGCTGGAGACTGGCTTGTTAAAGGGCATGGAGTGATAGGCCAAGGAGGAATGGCCTTAAACTGAAGGAGGAGAGATTTAGATTAGATATTAGGAAGAAATTCTTCCCTGTGAGGATGGCGAGGCCCTGGCACAGGTTACCAAGAGAAGCTGGGGCTGCCTTATCCCTGGAAGTGTCCAAGGCCAGGTTGGACAGGCCTTAGAGCAACCTGGGATAGTGGAAGGTGTTCCTGCCCTTGGCAGGGGGTTGGAAAGTAATGTGCTTTAAGGTCCTTTCTAACCCAAACCATTCCATGATATCTGCCTAGAGTATGCTGTCTGGAACATTTAATTTACAAAGTCATTTGGGAAAGGAGAGGATTTAAGACCTCAATGACTGTTTTAGAGAGCTGCAGTGGAAGTTAACAGCAGGAGTCAGGCAGGTTTTAAAGCTCTTATTCTGTGTACACATTGTGCTGAAGTCAAGAGTATGGCTCAGGAGATATTTCTCCAGAGGCAGCTGTTGAGTACAGCTGCACTGGCTGGGTCACTGACTGAAGGTATCCTGAATCCTGTACCATGGCTCTTAAACACAGATCTCTTCTAACAGCAACATATGTTGTGGAAAAGTTTCTTAAGCCGTTTTGGGGTGTAGCACACAAAAATGGAGAAAAGAAACCTTGACTGATGGGTATTCCTACAGAATTGTTCATTGGGTTTCATGGGATGTAATTCCCAGGGCACTGGCTGGCTCCTTCAGCGAGCTGTGCTGGTCTGTGTGTGTCACTTCTTGCTTAGCAGCCTGATCAGTGCAGGCTCAGGAAAGGCTTTTTTCTCCTCGTCTTGGCTCATGAAGTTTGTTCCTTGAGCCCTCTTGGCAGATACACCTGCAAACCTGGCATGGAGACACACCAGTTGCGTGCTCATTAACAATGGAATCACAGAATCTGGAAAAGACCTGTAAGATCATCAAGTCCAACCATTAACTCAGCACTGCCAAGTCCACCACCAAAACAAGTCCCTAAATGCCACATCTACATAGATGTATAGTCTTAAAAGTTTGATTTTTGACTGTCCCCAGATGGTGCATCCTTTGGAAAACCCGACTGGAAAATTCCATGAGAGCAGGGTCTTACGTGTCTGAAGTGGCACCAAAATGTAGCTATTCTTTTGTGTATCCCCAAAATGTGGATCCAATTTCCAGGGCAGTTCTGTGAACAGGAGGTCAAATGTTCTATATTGTCTGTAGAAAACCATAAGGATGAGGTTGGGGTGATTAGTGAAAACCTGTAATATTCCAACTGCTCTCCCTTTGCATCTGAATCCCTCTTTGCCAAGCCTGCAGGCCAACTGAGCTATCAGCACACATAACATTTGTATTCTCACCATTAGAACAATCTCATTTGCTTTGCTGTTGTTTTTAACACTACCCCAGCCCTGGCCTCTGAAGCTTTTTTGAAAATAACATTTACAATAATATTTTTAACAGTTCCGTAGTATACAAAACTCCAGCGCTCTGGCAGGACTCCCGGAAACTTGCTGAAAGTTAATGTGGTCAACTCTTAAAAAGGAGAGATTTTTTCCGCTTGACTCTTGCTTGTTAAACTCTCTAAGCCCAACATGTTCCCTGCTGCTTGAAAAAACAAGGAAAGTCCCAATTTTAGCAATGCTCGTTTCAGTAGCTTTCCAGCTGAGCCCTATTTCAGGGGCAACTGTGGCTTATTATTATTTTTTTTTTACGGTGGTGTGTCCCTACCGTAGTCAAACCGAAGTGTTAAGTGATGCTGAGGCAGGAATAAGTAGGTGCTGCTTTCCCTGGAAGCCTGGGGATGATAAATGACATAGATAGATGCCACTTGCTTGTGCTGCAGTAGTGGCAAGACATCCTGACTTAGAATCCATGTTTTATGTTGGATGCTGGGCCTCTGTGGGGTAAGATGAGTCCTTTTGGGGGCAGGTGATACTGTAAATCCCACTTCAAATCAACAGCACACTGCAGGTGACTCCAGTGCTTTCCTAACCCCGCATCCCACATTCTTCCTCCCAGTAAATCTTCTAGTTGCTTTTTTGTCTTCCCTTACACCCGGGGGGGGAAAAATTGCTTCTCCATCCTCTCTTCCTCTGCTTTGCTTTCTGCAACTTAGATGCACAGAGGCAGGAGTCATGTGTGACTCCACGTCATACAGACACGTCATAGCTGAACTGTTGTCTCCCTTGAGCTCAGTCTTGCTTAATCCATTCCCAGCCAGGCGTATGGGAAGAAAAGGGAAGAACTGAGATTACTTTTCAAAGAGGATTAATAACCTTACACACAGCTCTCATGTAGATAATTCATACCCTGCACTCATGTGGCTGCAATGAAGTTGAGCCACTTTGCCTGCAGAATTGAGCTCAGCTCATTCAAACCAAAGCTGCTTTTAGATGGCAGCACCTGTACTGGGATTCCTGCAGGTCTAGTAACTTCCAGCAGTTTCCTGAGCAGACAGGAGCAGGCAAAGTCTTTTGAGTGCACGGCACAAACCTGGAACACGATGAGAACATTGCCCCAACATCCCTGGGAGCCGACAGGTTGCTGAGCTCTCTCATTGCTTGAGGCATTTGTTTGTAGGATCTGCTTACCCAGGCAGGACGTGCCTGCCAGGGAGATTGGCAGTGGAGATTTGGAGTAGATTTACAGCGGTTCTGTGAGCTGTGGGAGCAGTGCAGTGCCAGGTGGGAGCCCAGATGCTCACTGGTTTGCGTTGCAAATTGCCAACACTTGAAGGCTCTGATCAGGGAGCTTAGTGGGAGGAGAAGGGGGGAGTTTCTTGGAGCTGCATTGGAGTAGGAAAAGGATTTTTCCTTTTTTTCCCCCTCACTTATTTTTTTCCTCCCCCCTCTGTTATTTTAAGGGAGATAATAAAAGGACAGAATTTGTACTAGAAACAGGAATTTGTCCTTCTGTAACAGGAAGCTGCTGGTATGTATTTTTGGGAAGCCACGGAAATCGCCAGTGTTTGCAGTCCAATTTGAAGGCTGGCCGTGCTCAGGATTGAAGAGATCTGCTAAAACAGAAAACCTTTTTTTTCTCTCGAGTATCCATGGAGATTTCCTGCCCTGTGTGCAGGGGCTGGTTTGCTCACGAGAGCTGGGCAGTCGGGTCTCAGGGTTTTGCTGTGGCAGAGGTGATGGAGAACAGCACAGGGTAGGGCTCTGCTGGATAGAAAGGTCACCTGTTTTTTTCCAGGGTTTGTTTGCACAGTTCCTGCAGGGGCATGTTTTTGTGACTAGATATGGATTGGAAAGGTCTGGAAGGTCTCCAGAAAACCATTAGAAAAATCTACTACATTGATAGGAGAGTTAACCTGGGCTATCCCAGGAATTTACAGCTAATCTGCTATCTGCCTGTGGCCCTCAGTGCAAACTCTGCACAACTTAATTGCTGGAAGTGTCGCATCAATTTTGAAAGCAAGAGTGAAGATTTGGGCCGTTTCCTGCTCTTGTTATAATCAGATGGAGTTTTTACCCTGCTTTCTTGCTGGTTTTCTGCTCTCTCTTGATTCAGAGACCGATCAGTTCCTCCTCAAGGTAGGATTTTTAACCTTTCAAGCCTTTTGATTACTTCCTTGCCTCCTCGGTTGTTTGGCAAATGGACAGAGCAGAGTGGCTGTGGGTTCTTAGGCTGAAGGGTGCTGTCCTGAGAGGAAGCTGCAGCAGCAGAAGGAACAACAGCACACAACATCTCCATCTCTGCTGCTCTCTTATCGCTTTCCCTTCCTGCTCGTCCCTCTCAAAATAGGCTGGATAAATATCCTCCTGCTTGCCAGCACCGAGGCGCCAGGGCTGCAGAGATTCGTTTTAATCCGCACTTGTGACCGTTCCCGGTTCACCTCGGATTTGTTGCTGTGTTTGAATTGATTTGGCCGAGCTGGGAGATTTTCAAAGTGCCTTTTCCTGCCGTTTCTGACCAGTGTATCACGCGTGACACTCCACAGTCTGCGTGGGTGTCCCGGAGCACGTGGCTCTCGTTGGCTTTGGGGCAGCCTGCAGTAACTGCAGGACAGGAATGTCTTACTCCCTCTGCAAGTCTGATGAGGTACTTGAAATGTCTCTCCATTTTTCTTCTGCTGCCACACAGGTTTGTGACCAGGAAATCTGAGGATCTACCAGGCAGCTGAAGTGGACTTTGATGATGTTTTCTATCTTAAAACATGCCCACCTTTAGGTGGGTTTTGCTTTCATTCAGTCTAAAATAAGGGTTTTTTTCACTAGGGAGCAGGACTGGCTCCTGCATGCTCAGGTCTCCTTTACTTTCTCGGTGACCAAAGAAAAAACCCAAGCCTTGCTGGGTGCAGAGGTTTGGCTAAGTGCAGTGTGGCAGGTAGCTGAACCCATTCCTTCATTGGTGTTGGACAGATAAAAGGCAGAAACTCTGGAAGGGCTCCTAGGGACATGCCTGTCATGAGGGATGTACGGGGCATACAGTGCTGCTGAGAGCTGCCTAGATTAAGCTTTTTTCCCAAGTGATCAGAAGGAAAGGGAGTCCTACCTTAAGGAACATCGGCTGGTGTTTGGAAGCCCTAAATTTAGGTTTCTACTTTGATTCAGGCTGCCTCTTGGATTGTCTTTCCATGTCCTGCTGTCAGTCTGTTCCCCAAGTGAGTCTTATTCCATAGGGATGCTGTGGAATGTGATGTGATAAAGATGCTATTACTTTAAGGTTACATTAATAAGGTAAAAATACATTTAAAATATAATATATTAAAAATATTCTGCACTTATGGAAAGGAGGCCTATGGCACAGGTATAAGTTGTTTACTCCAAGATTTTAAAACCATTAAGATTCCAGGTTTGTAGTGTGTTACCTTTGGGGTGTGTAGGGGAGGGCAGACTCCTGGTCTCAGTTCCTAACTAAATGGCTCTCCTCTTTCCTCCAGCCCAGGTGAGGGTTGGAAAAGGCTTTGTGAAAATCGGTCCTGTACAGTGACTCCACTGACATGTCAAAATTAATCTGTAACCTCTGTGTTTGTTACAGGGTGGATGCTTGAGAGTGGAGGATAAGGTACAAGTGTCTGGGACCGGTGGAATGGAGGCCTGATGTAGATGGAAAGATGGGTAAGAACTGTATTCCCTTGAAGCAATTAATTTTCTACAGCCTGTTAATTTTGGTTGGGACTACCAAGAATGGCAAGAGTGGGAGACATCTCTGAGATGGTCTGGCTGGATTGCTTTCTAATTTTTATTTTATTTTATTTTATTTTAATGGTGCCATAATTGGACAAATTCTCTTTTTAGTGTCAGTGTGAGCTGGTGGGTCGTGTTCTAGATGGAGCCTCTTTCCATAGCTGCCTTGTATTTCTATGCAGAGTATCTTCATTCCCTGTAGCTCTTCCTCAAGGAATTTTCTGTTTCAGCCAGAGCCTGAGTATATTGCTTTTCTAATCAGTGACCTGGATTACTTGCACCTTCTTCCTCTCCTGCTGGAATAGTTGTGTATCAGATGCTCTGTGGTGCTGAGGGAAGCTTTTTTAAGGTGGGAATTATTTGTAGTTCTGGGGGTACATAATGATTGTGATCTTATCTCTAAAGAGAAAGTTCATCATTTCAGAAATTAGGATCACTTGTTTGGACTCTCTCTGTTTTAGTGAATAATCATATCAGTGCTGTTGTCTCACATGAGCAGGTGATAAGTGTGGGAGCCCCAAGAATGAACACTGACCACAAAACTAATTTCAAAGTGGTCTACAAGCCATTTTGTTGGGCAGTAGCAGTTCCAGCAACTGCAGGGGTTTCTGCTCCTTTGCTTTAATTGTGTTGAAGAGGAAGCTCAGCAGATTGGAGAACAAGGCCAGGTTCTGCTTCACAGGACTGTCAGTGTCAATTAAGACATGGAGCTAATTGAGCTTGAATTGTCTTCTTCCGTTCACCTGACGAGGCAGATTACAGAGGAGCCTAAATTTATCTCCTGAAATGGCTTCTTGACCTGGTGACCCAAGAAATGAGAAGAGATCTTGGAAAAGTCCTGGTTGAAGCCGAGCATTTTACTTGCACATTTGCAGCATTTACACAAGTTGACCCAAAACTTTTCAGGGCTGGTTGAAATGGTGCTTTAAAAAAAATAAAAAAAAAAGGAGATGGGGGATAATATGTGTAAATTTAGAGATTGTCCTTGCAAACATGCTAGAATCACAGAATCACAGAATTTGGGTTGGAAGGGACATTAGAGAACATCCAGTTCCACCCTCTGCCCTGGGCAGGGACACCTTCCACTATCCCAGGTTGCTCCAAGCCCTGTTCAACCTGGCCTTGGACACTTCCAGGGATGGGGCAGCCACAGCTTCTCTGGGCAACCTGTGCCAGGGTCTCACCACCCTCACAGGGAAGAATTTCTTCCTAATATCTAATCCAAACCTTCCCTCTGTCACTTTGAAGCCGTTCCCCCTTGTCCTGCCCTTACAAAAAGCCTTGTAGAAACGTGATTCAGAATTTGATACTGGTTAAAATTTAAAAAATGAGAAGTGTGAAGCTATTGCCACACCTTAATTGTTTGTCCTCCCTCATGGAGAAAGGACAAGAGTGGTACTTACCCTATCCTGGCTTTATGTCTTTGTTCTTTTTGCTCTTTCTCTGTTACCTAGAAGAGAGATTTTGTGGGGAGACAACTAATTTAAAGCTAAGTTTAAAAAAAAAAAAAAGGAAGAAAAGAGAAAGTCCAGACCTGCTTCTCCAATGTAAAGAATGACAAATTTCAGTTTAAAATCCGTGTTGAAAAACCCCAGAATTTTTTAGAAACATTTTCACTTTGAAGGTAAAAGCCACTCGTTTGTCAATATGATGTGGTTTTTTTTGAGAAGGAAAGTTCAGACTCACTCTGAGCACCACTAGGGAAGGAGTTGCTGGCTCCAGTCCAGTTCCCAGGAGATTGTCAATTTGATGACTCCTTGTGCAGAGTGGTTGATAAAACCTGCTCAAGGTGCCTTCAGCCTGCCAGCTGTGAACAGAATATGGATACACTGGGGCAGTATTAATTCTGGGAACTCTGCAGTGAAGAGAACACCCTTTTGCAAGGCACTTGGGGGTTTTTTTTGTGTGAATATGAGCTGAATCAACAGGAGTCTTGTGCAGGTTTGCAGATACACTTGGGGTTGTGTGTGGATGGAAGGTGCTGTGCGTGTCCCCCTTCCCCAGATGTTGTTGCTACAGCTCATCATTAACAGCATCAACACCTGGGTAGGGACTGGTTAGATCTGCCAGACTGCATCCAGAAAGGATCATCTCGTGGTCCTGAGTCTGCTCTATGGTTTGACTGTCGGGATGAGATGAGTGATGTGTGTCTCCAAGTGGAGCTTGTTAGTTAAAGAATCGTTGCAACAGCTTTGCTGACGCACAGAAATTTGGGCTAAAATTTTGAGGGTTAATTAGTTTCACTTCTCCCTCTTTTCCTTACCCCTCATAGGCATGAGGGAGCATTTTCAAGGGAAGTGCAGGGAATATGCAGTTATGTCACTGATTCCCCTGTGACAGACCACAGAGATGTGTTGGATGATGTGATCTCTGATGTTCCAGGTCTACCTTTTTTCCTAGGATCCTATTTATAGTCTGCTCAGTGCCTCAAAGTTCAGCATAGGCCTGTTCACTCCTAGACACGTTCTAGGGAAGTTGCATGACCTTGTCTGGAGACCACAGTACGGGAAGTGGGGACTTCTGGCGTCTCCATGGGCTGCACCTCTGACAGAGCAGTTTCTCTGTGTCATGCAGTGCGTGGACCAGCCCTGTGCAGCTGTGGGATCCCAGTGCTGTTGCAGGTCCAAGACAGTCTCTCTACGTGTGCCAGCTTGGGGCCACCCTAAGTCCTTGGCACTGGGTCTTTTTATTCCTTCAGCTCACAGCATGTTACCATCTGCCACCTCTCCGAGACCTCTTTGTAATTCAAAGATGTGTCCATGTCTCCAATACAACACAGTGCAAAGATCACAGCCAACAGGTGTTAAAAATTGCTGTGTTTAAACATGGCATCACAGTAAAAGTAACATTAAAACAACCCACACAAGTTGGTAGAAAAAGCACCGGCTTGTTTGTTGCTTAAATTTTATTCTTTTTGTTTTAAAACGATTTAAGTGTTTTTAGTTGTGGTTATGGAATGCCGTGTGCATTCATGTGTGTTCCTGATGATAAAAACTCCGGGAAGGCTGATCTATTCTGCTCTGTGTATGTACATGTAACTCAAAGATTTAGGTCTTTAGTGCTTTGCTGGAGCGAGTGTGGCTTTTGCTTCAGCAGAAAGGTCATCTGAGGTGTGGGATATGGGAGAATGATGCTTGTTTATAGCATTGCCTTGACAGAGTGCGTGTGTTTGGAGAAGACAACAGCAGGCTGGGCTGGCAGAAGCCACAGCAGTTTGCAGGAGGAGGAAGGGGCCTGTTTGCACAGCCATGGTCTGGCCACTTAACTCCAATTCATTGTTTTTTTGGGGGGCTGTTGAGACAGAGAGAACTGCCCAAGTTGTTGGGGGGAGAACAGACCCGTCCCCGTGCACCCAGGCACTGATGTCTCAGCTCTCCCATGCTGTGCTTTCCTCATTCCTCTAAGGCAATGGTTTTGCTCTTCACTTCCTTACTGCTCTTAACTTTCTCTTTATATGCTGAGAGCTATTAATGAGAAATTAATTCTGGTAGAATTGCAGTACTTTATTTTGTAATAAGACGCATCAGGCTTTCTAGCTCAGGTTTTGTTATTGTTAAAGGGTGACTGAGTTAAAAGGTGCCTGTGTCAACTTCTCTCTTTCCTGGCATCTTACCCATTGCACCAGGGCTCCATTTTAGGGTCACACCAGGTGCTTTGGGCACCTGGGAAATGTGGGGCTGGACCTGCATCATATTTGGGATGTTGCAGCCGTTGCTGCAGCAACAGGTTAGGAGTTCACGGGCTCTGGGCTGTGGCTTTGAGCACTGGAAGTAGCTGGGCTGGGAGGGAGAAAGAGTTCTTTATGAGCCTGCAAATAACCTTCAGAGGTATCGAGGCAGCCAGGGGAAATAACTTGCCAGCTACATTTCTTTCTGGGTAAACATTTTTCTCCTTTCAAGTGTGCTCAAGAGAGAGGTACAGGTTGTGGGGAGAGGTAATATCTTTTATTAGACCAAAATGATAGAGGTGGAAAAAACCAGGCTGCCTTTTAGGCACACAAGCCCTTCTTTAGAAGGAACAAATTTTAAGCTTAGCAGGACAACTGCTGGAAAAATTGGCCCAAATTTAATTTAATTATGTTAATCCATTGAAGGAGAATTAGTGTCTGTGGAGCAAAGGGCAGGGTTAGCAAAAAAGCTGTGAAAGTTCGTTGTGGAATGGGAGAGAAACCAGTGCCTTTGAAGTGGTGAGGAGTAGCAGGGCTACAGGCATGCAGAATTTTCTTAAATGTGGTTAATTTTGCTTTTTAGGCGTCTAGGCCCTGCTTGCAGGTCTCCTGGACTAACTTTAATCTGCAAAAGCAAGTGAGAAACAGTGCATTTGTCCAAAATCTGAAGGATCTTTTCCAACCAAAGTGATTCTAAGAGGCAGAGATTTAGCATGGCTTACCTTGCCAGCAGTCTGTGCTTTTATAGGAAAGCCCTGATTCCCACTGCCCTATTCCTGCAGTGTGGTCAGCAGGACCAGGGCAGTGACTGTCCCCCTGTACTCAGCACTGCTGAGGCACCTTCAATCCTGTGTTCAGTTTTGGGCCCCTCAGTACAAGAAAGACATTGAGGTGCTGGAGTGAGTCCGGAGAAGGGCAGAGGAGCTGGGGAATGGTCTGGAACACAAGTCTGATGAGGAGCAGCTGAGGGAGCACTGAAACCCTTTCCATCACTAAAAACTGGTGTGTTTATTATCAAACCATCAACGTCTCCTGCTCCAGGATCCCAGTTGCTGGCTGGATGTGGGGGGCAGCAGCTGTTTTCCCTCTTCAGCAAATCTTCCCTGCATCAAATGCCACCTGATTTTAACCCAGACATTTGCCCCATTAGCCAAGGAGGGTTAAAAGGTCTGAGGTGCCACGGCTGGACCTCCACAGGTTGAGCTCCTGTGCTGCTGGAGGAGGAGAGCTGAGAGAGGGAAGGGAAAGAATGGCTGTCAGGATG